GCTTGATTATCTCCATATTTCACACATATGCTAGTTTCATATTTCATAGTCTTCCATTTCTACAACAAACGTTTGTCATAAATGAGAAGCTGACATAGCAATGATGTAGTTTGCATTATCATATACGCATACTTTCTCCGTCTCTTTCTCTATCGATATATATTCCCCTTATTCAGCATATATTATATCTGACCATAGTGTCTTAAATCTTTGGTGGTCATTCGAATTATGAATATGAATATGGATTTCTTAGTTCAATTTAGAAAATCTATGTTATTCTCTTATTGGTTCAGCATATATCTATTGAAATTTTGACGCGGAGAGTGAATGGTTTCATATTATCCTTGTAGTTTGTAGTGAAATAGCAGACTATTCAAATTCTATATACTATTTCACCTTATCAGTTATGCGCTTTGTGCTTATGATTGTTATCTGTGTTGTTCCAATTATTCTATTGTGCTTAATTATTTTGTTCTTATTTCTTGTTGTTAGATTTGGTGAACAACCTTGGTACCATTGCAAGGGTGGCACCAAGGAATTAATGGAAGCCTTGGCTGCTGGTGCTTATCTTGTTGCAGATAAGGTCATTGTTACAACCAAGCACAATGATCATGAGAAGTATGTGTGGGAGCCACTCCGATTCAATGTTTATGGTATGTGGAGTGATGAATGATCAATCAATTATGCAAATGAAATGATGTAGTTGATTTTGAGTGGTATGAAGTTGTAAACTTTTATTGTACCTATTATGCAAATGAAATGATGTAGTTGTTAACTTCCAGTAAGTGGTATGAACAGTTGTTATACTGTTCATACCCTGCAACTGAATTGATTTCTATGACATAGTATTAACAGTGTACTTCTATGAGATAGTATTAACAGATTTTCAATAACAAAGCATGCTTTATATTTTTCTCTATATATAGCTGTGCACTTGAAGTTTATGATATGCAGGATGTGATTTTTACTAGGAATATAGTTCTATGACACAGTATTAACAGTGTACTTTTTTTCTTGTAGATGTATTTCCTTTTGCCTTTGCGATTGTACCTGGTGAAACTGTAGACAATTGGAGGTGGT